CAAGGGTATAAAGGGAAAGTCACCCCTTCAACTTTTTGCATAAATTTGCAATACCAGTCAAAATCGGAAGAATTCATCGGGACGGAGGGAGTATTAACCAATAGAAATGATATGTAACAAGTATATTATGTACTTATGTGAATATATATATATATATATATATAGAGAGAGAGAGAGAGAGAGAGAGATCTTCCTGTCCGGAATTTCGGACATGAACCGCCGTCCGAACGGCGGTGTTTTGGCCTCTTCCCAGTCGACTTTTTCGATTAAATTTTTATGGCATGTTCTTCATCAAGTCTAGTTTATTCACACAAAATTCAGCTAAAACTTCAATAGGGAAGGTCGTAAAATAATTTTTTGAAGTTAACTGCATTTTATATGTATATTTTGGATGCAATTATCTTCCAAAAATCATTTGACGGTCTTCCCGATTGAATTTTTAGCAGAAATGTTTTGTTGATGAACTAGATTTGATGAAGAACATGCCATAAAAATTCCACCAAAAACTTTCACCGAGAAAGGCCCCAAATGCCGCCGTCCAGATGGCGGTTCCAGTCAGAAATTCCTCACCGAAAGATAACTATATATATAAATGTGTGTGTGTGTCATGCGGACGGCCGCACAAGACCCGCCGTCCGTCCGACGGCGTTTGACCGTCTTCCCGGTGGTATTTTTTGATGAAATTTTTATGACATATTCTTCATGAAGTCTAGTTTATCCACAAAAAAGTCAACTAAAAACTCAATTAGGAAGGTCGTCAAATGATTTTTTGAAGTTCACTGCGTATTTTTTAGCGCAGTGAACTTCGAAAAATCATTTGACGACCTTCCGGATTGAGTTTTTTGCTGAAGAACATCAGCATGCCATAAAAATTTCATTAAAAAATTCCACCGGGAAAGCAGCCAAACGCCGTCGGCCCGACCTAGGGGTAACCCCCGGGTCCGGGCCGGGCCGGGCCGGGCCTCGGTTCTTTTTTTTTTTGGCTTTTCCTAGTTAACCCCCAACCCTCCCCCTTCACCCCCAAACCAACCCTAACCACCTCAAATGGCCTAAAATACCCAGCCCAACCCAAAAACTTAAAAAAAAATCAAAAAAAAAATAAAAATTGGTCCGGCCCGGGCCCGAACCGGCCGGGCCGGTTCACCTTTTGAAGGGCCCGAGCCCGAACCGCCATCCCACCGGGCCGGGTGGCCCGAACCGGTCAACCAAACGGTTCACCGGGCCGGGCCGGGCCCGCACAGTAGCGGGCCGGTCCGGTTCCGGGACGGTTGGCCCGACCCGAGTCCACCCCTAGGCCGGACGGCGGGTCTGGTGCGGCCGTCCGCACATGAAAACTCCGTTCATGACCGTTCATTTAGATTAGAATTGTATATAGATTACAAGATCAAATACAAACTAGGCTTAATTTACTAACCTACAAACTAATCATGACCGTTCATTTAGATTAGATTAACGTGCGTTTCATTTAAGTTGTTCACAACCAACTAATCAAAATTGAGGGTGTTTTGGTCAATTACTCAACTTTATAATGGAACAAAAATCAGGCTCATTACTTTCCATTCCCATAGCCGCCTACTTTCCATTCTTCTTTCTTTCCACCATTCCATCGATCATGGTGTTCATCTGTGCGCTTGTCTTCCTCATCTAAATTATGAATTGTTTGAGTTAATCATCTCTCATCATTATCATCGAACGCCATGGAATCAGGTATTAATATATCTTTGATAAACTCTGTTTTCATACAAAGAACTTCAGATGTATTATTCCTTGTGGTTGTTTGTGTTTCCTGATCGTGCATTTTAAATTTAATTGATTCGCATAACAGGTTGATGTTATCCTGTGTCTTCTTGCAAACAAATTTCATAATTAAACGTTGATAAGGTTACCTCCCTTCACTTCTTAGGTTTGTTTTTCTTGTGTTTACTCAATTGTATATAAATAAGGAATGAAATTGAACTGCATCATCATTAACGTGAAGGGAGAACATAATTATTTTAATATTTGTTGAAATTTATCTTTGTAATTCATCTTTGTCTCCTGCAAGGTATAAACTATGTATTATGCATTTGTTTTGGTTTTATGGTGCATTTAGTGAAATAAGATTTCAGTGTTGTTTAATATTGTTTTATTTCATGTTTAATATTATTTATTGTTTGTTGTTTATATAGATTTGAATTGTGCTTTACAAATTTCTCATGGGGCTCAAAGTACTAGATCCCTGAATGTTCACCCGAAAAGAAACTGGTTGTTGGGATGATATTTCCTAATCTAGATGCTGATTTGAATCTTTACAAAGACTATGCAGCTGAATTTGTGTTTACTATTTGTCATCATACATCAAAGAAGGTCGGAGATGGTCATATATTCATGAAGTATATTGTATGCAGTTTCTGAAGTTTGCCCGGAAAATAGTTAATGAGTGTCTAATAAGATTGAATGTAAAACTCTTTTAACTCTGAAATGATAAGATGCACATCATATAACCTTAATATGCATATCACAAAATGATAAGATGCACAATATTAACTTCTAAAATGCACATGTCATAATGATAAAATGCAACCTATGAACTGAAAATACAGACGTCATGACAATGAAATATAGTATGAACTATTGAAGTGCACATATCATCTTACTACAGTGCAATATTCGAACTTCTGAAATACACATGTCATGATGATAAAATGCAACATATGAACTACTAAAATGCAACGTCGACATATGTTATAAGTATGCACTTCTAATATATGTTTTGTGGATACTATGAGTGTATAATGCAGATCTTGTATTCTCAATATGCATATCACGTGACATTAATATGCACATCATATAAACTTAATATGCATATCACAAAATGATAAGATGCATGATATGAATTCCTAAAATGCACATGTCATAATGATAAAATGCGCGCAACATATGAACTCAAAAATGCAGACGCCGTAACGATGAAATGTAGTATGAACTATTAAAGTGCACATGTCATCTTACTACACTGCAATATAAGAACTTCTGAAATGCACATGTCATGATGATAACATGCAACATATGAACTATTAAAATGCAACGATGACATATTTTATAACTATGTACTTCTAATATAAGTTATGTAGATATTATGAGTGTATAATGCACATCTTGTATGCTTAATATGCATATCACGTGACATTAATATGCACATCTAATAACCTTAATATGCATATCATATAACATTATTATGCACATGAAATAAATATGTTGTGCTTCAATTAATTTATGTTGAACTATTGACTTCTACAATCAAGAGCTCTACGTCTTACCATATTTAGGTTAAAAAATGATTAATTTATTATAAAGTGTTTCATTTTGTAAATTAAAAGAGCATCTCCAGCGCTACAATGTGCACGATGCGCATGTGCCATGAGAGAGATATACACATAAAAAATGGAGAGAAATGTGAATGATTTATTTTACTGTTTCTATCTCTCTCATGCCAAAAATGAAGAGAAATGGTAAAATGCATAAAAAATGGTAACTTTCTTCATAATGGAAGGCTTCCTTTTTGTATTATGATACATGGATGCAATTTGTGCAATTTAAAGATTTCCAACTCAACTTTTTTATTATTAAAAAATGGAAGGTCATTCATGAAGTAATTCAAAAATGGGAAGTTAGTTACTTGGACACGGAATTAAATGAGAGGTGGCTAAACTTCAATGATTGCATAATTCAAACTTACCAAAATAAAAACACGCACGCTGCTACTACAGTAAATCAAATGACTCATATACCCCCTTTTAAATTCATTGACCGATTAAAAATTGCTTCCAAATTTTATTCCATGCGTGTGAGTGCAGGAGTTTAATGATGCATCTCATATGGAAGGCCGTCCGTTTTTCTAATCCAACGGATGGTATTGGTTTGTAGTTTGCACCGGAAGCCTAGTTTGTATGGGATCTTCCCCCTATATATATATATATATATATATATATATATATATATATATATATAAATATATATAGAATAAGGATCAAATGAGAAGAGTGCTTATCGTAAGAAGTGAGAATGCATCTAGTGCGTTCATTTTATGATCTGTGCATCAGATTAGCAAAAAAGTGCACGGGAAAGTGCAAAAGTTATTAAATAATGTGATGCTAGACGCGGTGGCATATCCGTAATTAATCGGAACTTTTCTGCCATCGCAAAAAGTGCATCAGATTAGCGAAAAAGTGCATCAGAAAGAGACAAATGTGAAGCTTCTCACTTCTCACGTTAAGATGTCTTCTTATTAGAACCCAACCCTATATATATATATATATAGGGAAGAGATCAAATAAAAAGAGGTTCTCCCGTGCAAAGTGCGAACAATTGCACTTTTTCTTCACCGCGTTGTACTTTTGCGTGTTTCTGTTGCACTTTTTCGCGATGGTAAAAAACTTCATTTTACATACAAAATTGCCACCGCGTTTTTGTTCAAATTTAGTTCACTTTTGGCTCATTTTGAGCCATTAGATCTCAAAATGAACGCACGAGATTAATTCTCACTTTGCATGGGAAGACCTCTTTGTATTTGAACCATCCCCTATATATATATATATATATATATATATATATATATATATAAATATATAGGGAAGAGTTCAAATGAAAAGTGATCTTCCCGTGCAAAGTGCAAAGTTTTCACTTTCTCATGTTTCGCTTGCACTTTTTCTTGTTTGCGTTGCACTTTTTGGCCATTTTGATTTTGGCCAAATTCGGCCAAAATGACGGTGGCAGTTTTGTAAACAAACCAATTTTTTTGAGCTCCTGCGAAAAAGTACAACGAAAGCAAGAAAAAGTGCAAGCGAAAAATGAAAAAATGCAAACTTTACACTTTGCACGTTAAGACCACTTTTTATTTGAACCATCCCCTATATATATATATGACTCTTTCTTTTTAGAGGCATATTTTGGTTACTTAGTTCATTAGTTGTATGTATATCCTGAGCGCTCCTTTTTTGTACCGAAATAACCAAATGAAGAAAAACGTTCTATACAGGATTGCTGCTAATTTATTTCCGATGACAAATACTTTTACAGTTTTACTCATTGCCAAAGAATGGTTACACAAGTTAAATCAAAACTAGAATTTAAATAAAAGTCCTATAAATGAGCCTTCATTTGCTATACTCGGTTACCTTTATAGTGAATGACTAGATATTGTTTCGTGTTACAATTGGATCAATATGAAAAAATTACAACAATAGGTGTGAAATGAAATGAAAAATTTTATACAAACAATAATTCTACGGTATAATGATAAAGGTGAGATGCTTCTGATGTTGTATGCTCATCGCTCTTGATGAAACTTCTGAATTACCACCATCCTGCTGTCCGAATGGCATTCCCCTGCAAATCGTGTTCAACGTAAGGACTTAACAATTTTAAATAGGTTTTCCTCTCATATTTAATTCAATATTATGTGTTACTTGTGAAGATCTAGAATTCTTCAATCGGGGTAATGCTAGTCAACTTGTCAGAGATTCCCAAAAATAATTACCACAATGTTTTTCCTTCATGGACAATATTTGAGAACGGAGGAGGGATTATTAGTTGTTTAGTAGGTTAGTTTAAACCTACATTTTGATCTGTAGACCGTCTCTGAGAAAGGTAACGCTCCAAAGCACCAACCCCTAAGAGTAATTTACCACCACATCCAGGGGCACTCTCGGAACCAACGGACATTTCATCAACCACAACAGCATCTACTTTCTCATCATCTGCTTTAACTTCAGGAATCTACATCAAAAGGCAATATAAAATGCGAACGCAGTAGACCAATATATAGCTCTTTCATCAGTACAGCAAACATTGTTGAAGCAGGTATTAGCGTATTACCTCATACATAGCATCAGTTAATATGCTCTCTAATAAGGCTCTTAACCCTCTTGCACCAGTGTTTTTGTTAAATGCTTTCTTTGAAATTAACCTCAATGCCTCTTCTGTAAAATGCAGCTTCACCTAAATGTAGTATAATACAGACAGTACAAAATTACCAAATCGAAGACAGACCATAAAAGTCGAAGAAAAATAACTCAACTCGACAATACATCTTGAGTCAATTTTGTGAGTATTCACATCTTTGGCTTGCTCTGTTTTTTATTACTCCATTCCAAAAAGAGTTTTGGCAAAAAAGTACCTTTTTATTTTGATAAGCTTTTCTAAAACAACTATATATCATCATTCACACTTAATTTTAGTAGCTTTTCTAATACAACATCATCCAAGCCTTAGTCCCAAAAGAGTTTGAGGTTTAAAAGCTGTTTTTATGCAACAACAACATCCAAGCTTTATTCCCAAAAGATTTTGGGGTCGGCTAACATGAGTCAATCCATGATTTGGAGCCAAAAAGGAAAGAAATAAAAAACAATATAAAAAGATAAGGTAAGATAAAAAGGATAAGATAAAGATAAAGTTAAGATAAAAGAACATAAGAAAGATAAAAGATAACAATAACATAAGTACATAAGAAAGATTAAAACTTTTTTTATCATCATCATTAAAAGCTTTTTTGATATTTTATTAAATTTATCATCATACATTCATACCCCGTTTTAAAATGTTTGATACTCTCTTTCACAAATTACTTAAAAGTTATCTCCATTTGATCTTACATAACTCTTTTCATGAGATAAAAAGCTTCTGACGCTCAACTTTTTCGTGGGTAAGATAGAAGGAAGCATTTTTATTATTATAATTATTTTTGCTGCTATAGTTATTACTATTATTTCATTTTGCGGGGATGGGGCGAACAAACAAACAAACAAACAAATAGACCTGTGTTTACTCATTCCCCATTGGAAAATGGAAACAAGAAAAGGTTGAGGTGATAAGAAACTGCTTACTTTGTTCATGCTAAATAGTTTCTTGTACTGTCTACTTAGAGCATTTTTCGGTTCTGTTAGGACCTGAATGGAAGAGTTCAATTATATCATCAGAATCTGTAGCTTAAGAATTCCAATGACATTGACAAAGCTTCAAATGTGTAACAGAAAGTCTTTGGAACATGATTATACACCTAACAAAAGTTTCCCAACGTATGGTGTTATAATAATTAGTCAATTACCATGACTGAACAAGTTACATTTGACATGTATTAGTGAAGTACATTGGTTGCCTATCCTACTTGGACAGGAATATATAAATAGCTAGATACGAGGGATCCAAACTACCTGAACAAGTTGGTTCTCAGTAAGTGCTGACAAAGTTACTAAAATAGGGAGGCGCCCAATAAACTCTGGGATAAGGCCATATGCAATCAGATCACTACTCTCAACCTGAAGATAGTGTACATCATGTTTCAAGTTAGCAGTACATTAATTAGTTGGAGCATTTCATATGTTTGGCTCCCCTTCTTTCTAGGGATAAATTTTAAGAAAACCTTATTTTAAATTCTCCTCTTTTTGGCACTGGAAGATTTCCCAGTGTATGGCACTGGAAAATATTGACATGGAACATGCTTGATAAACCAGCATTTCAGCAGCTTTTTAAAAAGACAGCATCCTTGGGATGATATATTATTACTAGAAAAAATCCACAAAGTTTCAGCTGTTTTAATAGTTGGAACTTTGCAGCTTATGATTATTTTTCAACAACTAACCTTTTCCTTCATCTGTTTTTGGCATCTACTTTACAATGTAAAAGCTATTTCTTGTTGCATCCAAACGAAACTAACTATTTTCCGACCACTACCGAACGAAATTTACTTGTGCAATAATTATTTGTGTTTATAATATAATATATTGAGAAATAGATTATTATATAGTTTTCCCCTTTTGTCCCGAAAACTAAAAAACACACGAAGGAAATTGCATTCCACAGAACAAGAATTCATTTTTGTCAGAGTTTTACATTTTCTAATTTTGTGGTTTACGCATTATATCCACAAAAGAATTTATTTTCGTGGATAAAAAATCCTAGGGAAACATTTCCCATGAAAATAATTTCCACAATTTTTTTGCACAAGCTCTTTTCCTGCAATATAACAGAGCCTTCAAGTTATGCCAAACACATTATGTCATCATTCTTACAGATTCAAGTAAAGATGATGTCACAACAGCATTAGTTACTCCGTGAGTCCTCATGTTGGCACGTACTGGCGCACCAAAACCAATGGAAGAATCCTGGCGTCTGACAGATAAACATGTCCGGAATGAAGTTCTAAGAGTTCAAGAGAGATGAAATTTTACTGCAGGGATGCAGAAGGTAGAATTAAAATCACCTCTCAGAAATGGTCTTCTCCAGGTCAACAAATGCCCCACCACAGATGAAAAGAATGTCTTTTGTGTCAATCTGTATATGGGCAAGTGCGCGTCAAAAATACCATCAGAAAGAGAAAAATTATGATAGGGACCTGGACACTCATAATAAAAATATTATTGTATTTTAATATTGTACAACTGCACAATAAAAGGGGTTTAGGCCCTATAACTGAATAGCAGTGGGCTGGCCCATCATTAAAAGAATAAATATGAATTGGGGAGTAGAATAAGGCAGGCAGAATTTGGGAATAGGAACTGAGACTCTGGGAGAGATAGGCAGTCTCGAACTTACTTCTACGTTTCTTCCGTTGCTTTGTAAATTTCCTACGGATATCTGAGGATTTCTCAGAATCCCTTGATTGAATATACCTACTGTTATTACTGTTTGGATCGATACTCCATCAAATTAGAAGTAAAGACAGAGAATGAGTAAACTAACTATGCATAAAATTGAAAAAGAAACTAAACATATTTCATTTTCCTTTGTATTTTTCAAGTAAAAGCCGAACACAAGAAATAAGTTTTATTAGCAAGTTCTTTCCTTTTTCCTTAGCATTTTGCAAGATCCAAATACACCCTAAAGGAAAAAAGCAATAGGAAGTAAATCCAATATCGTTATGTAAGAGTTTCCTTACTGATTAGCAGGGCATTTGACCCTTAGAAAAGACATTGAGATTTTTTTTGGCAAATAAAGACATTGAGATTTGAAAACTGGGAGATCTACAACCACAATTGAAGACTTTGAGGTCTATTACACCTTAGAAAAGGATTCAAAAGGGGAAACACATAAATGTTTTTCTCATGAGTTTTCTTAACTAGAAATGGCAGCTGGCGAAAAGGTAAAAAGGAGACGCATTTGATTACTTTGCACTCAAAAGAACTATAAGCCTTAAAAAAATACAATTACCTTATGTAGTTTGAGCATAGTTTATCTCTATAACCTCATGTGTTTCAAGTTATGTGATTAACAAGCTAATGTTATATACTTTTATTACCATCGTGGTTTTAGGTGTTGTAGAATTACCTTGCAATTGAATTGCCTATAAGATTAAAGACTAACTAATTTCTGTTAACATGGCATCCACAAGTGTGACCAAACATAGAATTTGCATATCTCTGGCAAGTGCAGAGAGCAATCTTGCAGATATTTATCTCATAACATAAGGTAATGTAAGATTCCTTGAATAAAGTGCCCCCCTTAGAGGTAGTTATTACGTAGTACTACAAGCGGAATAGAAGGAATTAATATAAAAAAAGGAGAATGAGCACAATCTGGGTCTATGCTACCTGAACATGATCGCCACGAGGATGCTTCCTTGCACCTTTTTCGGGAACATTCACAATCTGGTATACAGAAATATTCAATTATAAGCAGATTCAGCCCTTGGCATTTTAAGTAACATTTTAGCATTGTCACAGGCCTCAACTCTACACATCACATGCCTCAGCATAAACTTCTAACGAATTAGACGAAACAAATAATTTCATATTATCCGGTACTTATTTATATATAGACTAGTTATCAAGCCGCCTCAACATTCTATCCATCTCAACTATGCCCTCAGAGGCTATACATGTACATGATATAAACGAAGTGCATGGTAATGAAAGCTCACACTGATGGAAAATATTAATTAATTGGATTAAAACTGTATTTAGTTTTTTTTCTCTCCTTCAGATTATGAGCCCGTTTGGTAACACTTAAACATACTTGTCACGGCGGTAAGGCGAGTCGCGGCGCCAGCCGACCGCCATATCGCCTAGGCGACAAGGCGCCCGCCTAGGCGACAATTAGGCGACTTGTCGCACAATATACATAATTATATTTTATACATAACAATACAACATTCTATTTAATTTGTAGTTTAATTACATATTATATATGATATATTAAGAATGCAATTGTATATTGCCTAATAATTTATTAATATTTTAGTATACCTAATTGATTAATATGCAAATTATTAATTTCAATATTAATATACCCAATTTTTTAATTTATTATATATCTAATTTATTAATATACAAGTTATATTCATTGCTAATATATACTGTAGTATGTATCTATGCATGTTGTATAGTGTGTACGAAATATACATATATTATATTAAAATTAAACTATGTAAAACTGTAGTGGATATACTGCTGAGTGGGTACGAAGTATTAATATTAATGTTTAATATCAATATATAATAGAATAAGAAGTCTGATAAAGACTAACGTGATACGATGAATGACTGATAAAAATAAAAGGCTGGGAAGAGCGCACGTCGTCTTCAACCTTGTGACGCAGGAACACATCAACTACAGATCGCCTACAGACGACCTTGCTACAGAGGCACAAATCAGAAAAGTAACGACTAGCGATGCTCCGCCTTTAGGAATCGTCGATTGAGCTTCGAGGTTGAGTCGACGATTGTTCTTTTAGGCTGGGCTTCAAAAAACGAATTTATTGAGATTTCAAATCTCCCCTGGCGTGACGCCAAGACTGCGCCTGGACGACATATTCACGCCTGGACGACGCCAGAGGTGACTAGCCTTCTTCCGGCGAGTCGATCTCCCCTGTCAACGCTTCTCCATCGCCAGGACGCCTAGTCGGCGACTAGGCGACGCCATGACAACCATGCACTTAAATCAGCTTAATCGGATGATTCTGCAGAAATTTATGAATTTATTGCTGAAGTGGCTGTATTGACTAATTCTGCTGATTTATGAAAAAATTATATTAAAAATATATTTTATTAATAAAATAAAGAAAAAATCATATGAAAATAGCTAAAATGGTCATCTAGAGTAACTTTAACCAATACAGCCAGAAAAGTAACTTCAGTCTTACTTTTTCTTATTATTACACAATTCAGCACGTGAAATCAAAACTTACGTGTTTGGTAAAAAAGTTGGCTGATAAGCCTGATAAGCCGAAAAATAGTGTCACCAAACGGACTCTATATCATTGATGTTTTTCAAATTTCAATATTTTATTGTCCTTTTAAGTTATAGGAAAAAACATAAATGTTGGGTAAATGTGCACAGGTGCAGGGACGGATCTATAGGTAACCCCATGGGGCCATGGCCCCTCCCAACTTTTTGTTTTTTTACTAGTATTATTAGTTACGTAGTATTTTATTTTTGGTGAGAACTCCGGTAAACATTTAAAAAATAGGGTACCGTACCTACCATTCACTTGATAGTTCCAAACATGTATATCATTTTTAATTCAAATTTAAATAATTCAACTGCAACATTCTGATTGGTCCATGTGGACAAACTTAATTATTTAAGAAAGTGTTAGTATATATTGTCTTAGATTAGAGATGAAATTGAGAGCTTAAGTTATATTAGAGCCTGGGTATTAAACCAGTAGAGCACTAGTTTTTATGACATGCAAGCACGATTTCTAATTTTTAATTTGCATGACGTTTACTCATGTATTTTTTGGAGGTACTACGTATATTAGTACATTTTTTCAACTTTGCCAACAAGTATAATTGCTACAACGGATACTATGTAGTACATTATTTAATGTTTATTGCATGTAAATTTTATATGTTATTATTTAATTTTTTTATTTCACCCCGGCCCCCCTCTTGATCACATCCTGGCTCCGTCCCTGCACAGGTGTCCCTAAAAAGATGGGATGGGTATCAATAAATGTTGGGTAAATCTTGGTATTTAATTTTTTCCGTTTATTTGTTAACACCATGTGATCCGATTATGTCGGACTAATACTGGGCTCCCAAGAACCCACCCCAGACCCTTGAGAGAAGTAAATTCGACTCGCTTGAACAATCCGCTAGATTCCCAACGGCCAAATATGAATCACTGCGTACAAAAAATCACTCTTTTAGTACTTGTCTTCACTCGTCCTCAGGTTCCCACCACAGCTTCCGGAAGAACTGCCACTCAGTAATCAAAAACCATCAAATAATACCCAGCAAGGAGTTAACTCCCACACAGCCACTTGAAGCGAGAAGAAACACTGATTGTGCGACTAGTCAAGTAACCCTGGGGGCTAAGGATAATTATTTGAGAAAATCCTCCCAAATTTACCTCCTTTGTGACGGAAACCCAAGACCTCCCACATAGTGGGGGTCTTAAGTGTGAGATGTGGCCCACTTGGACTACTCCAACTGAGTCCAACTTGTCATTTTTCCGTTCTTTTGTATAGAAGTGTGGTCTGTCTATCACAAGATTAGCTACACAAGTTTTAAACTAAAGCAACAAATTCAGAGGTAGGATATGACTTACAGTTCCTTCAAGCATTTTAAGTAGTGCCTGTTGAACTCCTTCACCAGAGACATCTCTGCTAACATTAGAGCTCTCAGCCTTTAAAATGGAGAACATAAGATGTATCAGATCTGCTATCATAGCAGTTGAGGAGCAACAAAACCTCTTGCATAAATTTTGAAGAAGTCTTGAAGGTTGAAGATTATAAAAATAAGGGAAAAGGGTCAAATAGACCCTTCTACTATTTCCAATCCATCACTTAAGCCTTTCTACTAAAGAAAACATCATATAAGTACACTTACTTCTTAAATACAAATATACAAGCAATCAAATCATTTTGACCTGCTATAGCAGTTTTTTTTATAATTAGGAGTATTGATAAATCTTATAAAAATTCATATAAATTTAAAAAAATGTAATACTAATTAAAAAGTAGCATAAATGTAAAAATAGATAAATAATTTAAAAACGTCAAAATAAAAAAATAAAAATCAGAAAACTGAAAAAATAAAGTGAAAATGTAAAAAATAGAAATTTAAAATGTAAAAACCATTTAAATAGATGTAGAATATACAAATAATTTCAAATTTTCAAAAAATACGAACTTTGACATTCAGAATTTTTTCATAATTTTTAACTATATTTTTTCAAAATATAAAAATATTTTAGAATTTTTTAATATAAAGAATCTGCAATTACACAAAAAAAATGAATAAATAGCCAAATTGATCAATTTTTTAAAGTAAGTGCACTTATATGATACTCCCTCCGTCCCGCTAGAAGGTTCCCACTTTCCTTTTTTGGACGTCCCGTTAGAAGGTTCTCATTTCCATTTTAGGAAACAATTAACAATCTTAAGTGACAAACTAATCATTAAATATTAAAAATAATACATTTATAACATCACGGTTATAAATATTAACTACATCATAATATATACCTATTAAAATTATTTCTCATAATATACTCGAAGTACTTTATTTAATTATTGCCTAAATAACCGTGCCATTTTGCTGTGGGAACCTTCCAACGGGACGGAGAGAGTACTTTTTTTAGTACAGGGGCTTAAGTGATGGTTTGGAAATAGTAGGACTTATTTGACACTTTTCCCTACAAATGAAAAACTACCTTCTTGGTTATCTTATCTACTTCATCAATGTATACTATCCCTTGCTGTGCTGCTTGTACATTGAAATTAGAAACCTTCATACCAAATTTTGAAAGCTCAGAGATGCTTCAATGATAAATGTGCTCATAAGAATAAAAATGAACAGTCGGGATTTATCTTCACACAAGCTACCACTCAAAGAGAACCAAATGATCAGTATAAAACCTATGACTTTGAAATGGAAAAACAGAAAAACGTGTAAGAAACTGTTTGATAGACAAAATCAACAAAGGTCCATTCTCTATGATAGCAACAGAAGTTAATCAAATATTGGAACCAAGACTACACACCCAATTCAGTCTACAACTAGGCTTAATTTTCTGAAACAACTCAAGTAGATAACTATACCACAAGCAGTTTATACAGTATAGACTCAACATCCTCCCCAACATAGCCAGCCTGCAAAAAAAATTATCTTTCAGTTGGACAGTAAGGAAAAGAGATGCAAGACAAGAAAGAGTTTTAGGTTCTACTTCTTTCCTGGGCAGAGGATAGCTCAAATTGTTACTCTGTAAACGATAAATTACCTAAGACCAAATTTGAAGTTACTCAAAGCTAATGGCGTGGCTAGGGGCTGAGGGGTATGAATTGGACTAGGCCGGTACAAAGATTTTTTTTAATAAATTTTTACACAAAATCTTTTACACTAAGATTTAAAGTTTTGTATTTAATTTGGGGTGGGCCGGGGTCTAGCATGTCCCCCTACCTCCGCCGCAGCCCATAGCATCTCAACAATGGAACTGAAGAGCAAATAATTATGGTAACATCAAACTAATATGGTATATAAATGGGAAACTATGGCTCTGCTTGGCCAAGCTTTTGTTGCTCCAAAAGTGCTTTTAGAGAGGACCTAGAAACCGAAGGTGATCTGTTCTGCCTATTTCCTAAGTGCTCTTACTGAAAAGCACTTTTCAAGAATGAGCTAAAATCTAAAACCACAATTTTTTAAAAACATGCATTCTGTGAACATACCTAGTTTTCATTTCCCTTAAAGCACTTCGAATTGGATTTGCCAAACATTTGACCGTTTTTGTTCAACTGTATTTTAACAGAAATTGCCCTAAGTAGGAGTAAAACAAATGTGAAATTAGGAAACAGAAGTACTATATTTTTTCCCTAAATAATATGAGTCATTACCGCCATAGTCAGAAAATACTGCCAATTATGGCTGTAATGCTGCTATGTGAACTATTAGTAATGCCAAAATATGGAAGTATGATTTGAAGATGACAGTAACTCACTCCTGTTCTGTGGAAAAACATAATACTCCTATTTTCAAATTTTGCATAGTGTTTACTCCTATTTCACGAATTTTTCCTATTTTTAACCAAAGCACTTTCACTAGAAGCATTTCTACACTTTCAATTAGATAAGCCCAAACACCCAAGTACTCTACTGTTTTTGGCCAACAACATTTTTTACCAAAGCACTTTTGCTGAAAGTATTTGTATGAAAAAATAAGCTTTTCCACATCTAGGCCAAGCAAAGCCTCTATCCTTTTCATTCTTAGAAGAGAGGGAAGACGGGAACCTAAGAAGAAGTTACAACAAAATTGCTTGTACAAAGTTATACCTGTGTTAAAGAAGTTGCATCGGCAATAACAAATGGCACATTAACGATACGAGCTAGAGTTTTGGCAAGTAATGTCTTTCCTGTCAGAAAGGCAAAGTACAATGTTAAAAAGACTTACCTTTATCTAGAATGCTATTAATTGGGAAAAGACTAGACATACTAGAATGAGTGAATGACAGTGAAATTCTCATACCTGAGCCAGTTGGCCCCATCAAAAGCACATTGCTTTTATCTAGTTCTACATTGTCATCACTATCTTCTTTAGCTGGTTTTGCCTCTGATCTAGCATCAATGTACAGAGTCATTTTATTGCACAAGATTCCATCATTCCAACCAAAGTTGTAGTAAATAAATTTGGTAGCGGTATAGATAAAGAAATATAATTAAGATTATGTCGGTTTAAATTCATGAAATCTCAAAGTTAATAATATACATAAAGATTTTTTTTTCAATGGATAGATGTTAAGAGAATTATATACACACCCCTTTTTCTGGGAGGCATGATATATCCTTTTGTAGTGATTATGAACAGAGACAGCAAGAACCTGCTAGATGAAAGGCAAAGAATCAGGTCGACACTTGAGAGTGAAAAGGAATAGCATGCCCTTCACATCTAAACCCACCTAGTCACTAGGCTTCCCCTTCACGGCCTACTACCTTCTTTTTTCCAAATTGACCATGCCTAATCCTATGCTCTGCCTGATCCATCCAACGGCATCACATCAATAATTACATCCTCCATTCTCAAATGATGGTTCATTAACTAAATGAATTGTGTTCTTAAATAAGTGCCCATTTAGTGATCCAATAAAGCAGAGAATACTAAAATAAGGATATGTTTGTCAATTTATGAAACGCTCATCTGTTGTCTTGAAAAACACAACTTTTTCCTCAATGGACAGATACTTAGAAGACAGGTTATGTCATAAGTGTTACTAACAAGTACTATGTATCCTTTTATACGGTCAGATGGATGGAAGCCATAGTGTTTGGTTGATCAATGAACATTCAAAGAAATTGACCTTCTTGGCACGCTCTTGGCCAATGACAAACTCGTCAAGTCCCTTGCAGATCTCTTTCGGCGTGGGTAAATTCTATGTGTTTGGTTATGTCATAAGTGTTACTAACAAGTACTATGTATCCTTTTATACGGTCAGATGGATGGAAGCCATAGTGTTTGGTTGATCAATGAACATTAAAAGAAATTGACCTTCTTGGCACGCTCTTGGCCAATGACAAACTCGTCAAGTCCCTTGCAGATCTCTTTCGGCGTGGGTAAATTCTTCCCCAAATTAGATCCACCCCAAGAACTTTTCTCCTCATTGCAATCAGGACCAGGTTCCCGGAATATACTGACACCAGGGAGAAACGGTGGAGTAGTGGGGTTATGTAACGCTACACCATTTTTAGAAGGTTGTGAAGAATGTGGGGCCCAATTCTCAGGTGGTTCACTGCCGTATATCTGCAATGTCTCCCAAAAGGCCGTCTTGAGGCGCTTGGCGTACTCCTCCTCTTTGGCCATTCTCTTGTCGGGATTTTTTATGGTGGAATTGGTTTTAACCCTCCCAATCTCAAAAAAGCTTCCCTGAAGAGGTGCCATCTTGTAGGGCCGGAAGTAGTATCCAGTCTTACAATTGGGGCAGATATTGACAGCGTGATAAGGACCACCACCTGGCGTTGGATTAGCAGCCTTATCACTAGTGTTATTGTTACCGTTAATGGAGTCATTATCTACAGAGACAGAGGCAGTTAGACGGCCAGCGCTTTCGCCATTAAAACTATCAGAAGCAAAATTGGAGGCAGGAATAAGGTGGGGGTTGTGGTTGGTGAAGATGAGATCCATGTGCTTGGAACAGCGAGGGCAATTGACCTCCACCTTAATACGCCTAGCCAGCTGCTCATCGGAAGACCCGCCTTTGAATCTCGCCTGAAATCCGAGAAGCGATTCCCTCCTCCTGCCCCCGGCGTGAAGCCAGCTCAGCAACCCTCTCGTCCGCTTCCGCCAATCGTCATCCCAGGTGGACAATGATGCGGCCGCAGCAGGAGCCGGCCGCCGCCGCCTAGAGGCCACCATTACCGCCGTGTGTCTCAGCTTGTTCCATCTCCATATTCCGGACATTTCTCTCAGCTTGTATATCCGGTTAAAAAGAAGTGAACAATTATTTATTTATGAATGAATGTAAAAAGAAACACAAGAACAAAGGAAAAGAAAATGTAAAAGTGAAAGTGGGGAGAGTTTATAGGAAGAAATAATGCAATGCAGTGCTTGCTTATTCATTCTTCACCCACCAAAGAGTGATCTATCTAACGCAAAAGGGAATCAGTTTTGACCTCGTCTTCGTCTCCTCCACTTCACCCATTCTCAGCCCACTATATGGGCCGTGGCCGGAGATAACCACCCGCCACTTCCGCTGCCCCTCACTACTTCTATTCATAGTCACTCACATACGGCGTATCTACTAACTAATCATATTTTTTAATATTTTAGTATACAAATTCTATCGAAATGTTTCTTATTCAAAACCATTTCTATAAACTTTATAAATTATTACAAGGAAAAACTTAGTATTTGCACGATCACGAAAAAGTCAATTGTTTCTCATACTTTAAAAAAATTCAATCAAATCTCAGAAAATGTTCAATTGGGTTAATTTTCTAGCCTATTTTGATTTCAATAACACTATTCATACTCCTTATCTTTTACTACCTCCTTCCCACTATGTTTGTGACAAGAGTGTGTGGCACGACATTTAAGAAAATGTAGAATTGTGTAGTTGATATTGAATTGATAAAGTGTAAATAAAGTAAGAATGAATTGTAATCACTGAAATATTACTAAATATGGTATGAGACAAACTTAATAGGACAGACGAAAAAAATAAAACAGGACAAATTTAGGGAGGGAGAGAGTATTTGTCAATAGACTTGATTGCACAAGTTCTACTCATATCTCTTTTGTAGGTAGATTTGATGAAAATGGGTACTAAAAGTAGTGATGTTAAGACTACAATTCACCGGTGGGCGTAGCTCAACTGGTAGCAAGAGAGTGCCACAAGAGTTAGGTCCCGGATTTGAATCCCGGCAACTGCGATGAGGGGTTACTTTGTTAAAAATGCATAGGACCTCTGCAAGTACGGGGAACACTGCAAGTATCGGGAACAGAACCTCAATCTCTATCTGTCAGATTGGGATTATAGTCCAATTTACATCCTCCCAACGTACCGTCCGATCGGGGTTGAGGGGCCCTCAGGGATGGGGTGTCATCTTTTTTTTTTGTTAAGACTACAATTCATTGCGTTGGATTGAGTGGCGATGCCAAATAATGCATCACTCATAAATATGTTGTACAAACTAATGTATGTTTATTATAGTAAATTAAACATTTGAATTAGTTTTATTTATTAAATTTTAATTAAGTGGTTGTATATAGTAATTTTGTGTATGTGTTTAGAATTTTCCTTCATTAAAATTTGCCTAAAGCCCAAATATGAGCTCCACCCTCTAATTTTGAAATTGACTCAATCAATTGAATTCGCTAAGATTGTTTAAATTTTAACGTTAAATTGGTTGAATTTTCTAAATTATGATAAAACTAAATTAAAAATATTTGAAAATAGGTAAAATGATTTTACGCACCAATTTCAATCCATTCAACCACAAAAAAAAAAATCTAACCTCATATAGAACCCGTTTGTTGATCATATGTTCACCCTTATTTGTCAACTTTTTTATCAAATACGTATTTTTTTATCTCACACACAAAGTTGTGTAATAATCAAAATAAATAAGGTTGAATTTACATTTCAAACGAAAATTGGTTGAAGTTGCTTCAAAGAACATTTTAGATATATTCATATTGTTTTTTCTTAATTTTATTAGTAAATTTTATTTTAAATATCTTTTTTTCATAATTTAGCAGATTCAGAAAATCCAGCCAATTCGTCAATTTCTTCAATTTTAGTAGATTCAGTCAATTTCAGTGTTATCATACGTACTCTTATTCTAGTTATTACAAATTCAAAGAACTAAATTAAAAGTTACATGTTTAATATATAAAAAAACTTAACTGATAAAGACAGTAAATTGAAAATAAAGATTACCAAACGGACTCTACTTTCAAGAGTTTTAATGACCCATATACCACATCTATAGAATAATATAACTTAAATATATAATATTAATGAATCCTACTATAAAAATAAGTGATGTGGCCAAATTAGTAGTGTTTAAGCCATACTCCCTCCGTATTTTAATGTTCAATACATTAGGTTGGACACATTATTTAAGGAGTAAAGTAGTAGGGGTAGTGAAAAGTGTAAAAAAAGAAGGAGAGAGTGTGTTAAACTATGAAAGAGAAGATAAAAAGTAGATAAAATAAGGGTAGTTGAGTATTTTATAAAGGGTAAAACTTACCAAAAATGGAAGTGTAGGAAACCCCGAGCTCTCAGAGGTCAAAGCTCGGATGCGTGTGCTCATTACTAGAGGATCTGTTTCGGTCTTCGGTCTTGTCTTGTAGCGTTGACTCTCTTGTTGGCTTTGCTTGACTTTGGTTGACCTTGCATCAGTGTCAGAGGTTAGAGTTGGTACCGAGCTCGGTGTGTTCGAGGTCGGCCTCATATTTTACCTTGTCTGGGTGATTCCTGAGCTCGGTGTTTTCGCCGACCTCGATGGGTCGAGGTCGGCTGTGACACTCCAAAAATTTAAATAAAAATAAAAATAATTTTTATTAGTCAGATAAAATATTACGAAAATAACATTTTTATAAATAATTGAGTCAGACAAAAATTCAACAGATGTGACATTTGAATCAGATAAAATTTCCAAGTTTACGACATTTTAATCAGATAAAAATGGTCCGATAATAGAAGTTATGTTTTAGTATAAAATTAACTTTTATATATATATATATCTATTTTAAATTAAGTATAATAATACACAAATACAATAATATAATAAATAAAATATAATAGAAACCTACTTCTAATAAACCTACATACATACAAATAATATAACTACCTATTAATATACGTATAATATAACTACATATTAAACAAGTGATTGTTTTAAGGTAGATTCTATGGTACCCATAAGGTACCATACATTTGTCCACATGGACCAATGAAAATGTAGCAGTTGAATTATTTAAATCTAAATTAAAAATTATAAAGTGGTGTGGTCCAATCAAATGAATGATAGGTACGGTACCCCATTTTTTAGAAAGGTACCGGAGTTGTCACCTTGTTTTAAACTAAACTACCTACGAATTATACTCCTACACCAACCGGAATAACTACCGGGAGAAGCCGATTAAATTCAACTCCAACTCTAACACAGCCTGAAGCCTCAACTTATACCTATAAATAATAGCCTAGGACCTGCGTTTTTATTCATACAAGAAACAGCCCCATATATATACATATATACGTGTATATATATACCAGAATTTTCGACCCTTCGTTTTAGCCAGAACCAAGCCCTGAAAACACTCTAGAAACCTTCCCCTTCGTGAGACGAATCCAACGGAGAAAGAATCGTAGAAAACGGTCGTGAAACGAGAGAGATATCGCTCGCCGGAGTTGCAAGTTGTGGAAGCGGGTCTTTATAAAAAGCAGATATTTTGCCGTAGATAGGGGTGGAGGAGCTTCGTCTCGGCGCAAGGATCATTTTGCAATTTGAATCGTCGAAATCCGTTATCTGTAAGTCAAGTTATAGCTCGGCGGAGTTTTCTAGTTTCCGGCGAAGTCGCCGGAATCACGACCCGGAGAAGATGACCCAGTTGTCTGGGTCAGAACTCTTGGGGCGGGTCGGTTTAATGGGCCAGTTCGGCCCAGTTTTAATAAAAATTAAAAATAAAATAGTAAATCAAATAAATAAAATCTGGAAAAATATAAATTAAATACCTAGTATAAATATACATATTCGGACCAACCAGAATTCAAAAATAATATTTTTAGCCATTTTTAATTGATTTAATTGTAATTGGGCCAATATATACACATTTAGTAAATAATTAACTAAATAACGAAAATAATTATGAAATAAATGTTGGAGTAAACTAGGATAAATATATGACTAACTAGGACCTTATGGACCATTTATAATTAATAAATATTAAGATTTAGTATATTTAATTGTAATTGAACCGGTTAATAGATATATGAAATTAAATGAATAATTATGGAAATAATTATAAAATAGATATCTGGACAACCTAGGTCAAATATAGACCCAAATTATAGTTATATACGGTTATTAATTTATAAAGTCGATTCTTAGTCTATTTATTTAAATTAGGTCATATAAAACTAGTTAAGTAATTAAATAAGGAAATATTAATATTAATGGTGAAATAAATAAATCACTGAGATTGAAAAATAATATTCTGGACTAAAAATAATGTTGGAATAAAATAAGGAAAATAAAATAAGGTTGGGTTAGCTAGCATAAATAATTGACTATATGTAGACTTAATAAATAACTTAATTATGTAATTAGTGGACTAATTCAATTAATAATTTTTATGATTGAATATTAGAGATTCGGACCTCATATAAATATTTAAAATATTTTGAACTCATAAATTGATGGGTTAATATAAATAAAGTAATTAAATAATATTTTATAAGTAGAGTAAATTAATGGTGATTATTGAATAAAAATTTAGATGTTGTAGTTAATTATATTCGGATATTTTATTTCAAATATTGAAAATTAATGGATGAAATTAATAAGGTAATTTTATTAATAGAAAGTGAGTAATCAAATAAATTCGGATAACTAATAAATTAAGTTAATAAATTCGAATAATAAAATAAAAGGAGAAAATCGGGTAAAGTAATTACAAATAGAATAAGTGACTAATTTTATCATATTTAATTAAAAAGGTGATTATCTAGAGATCGGATTAGAGGAGGATAACTAGGAGCAACAGGACTTAAGGTAAGTTTCTCTGTCAATCCAAAATTGTTTCCTCGTATTATATGCTTATTATGCATTATGTGATTAAGTGTGATTTGTGAATTTTGTGTATGTGATTTTGAGAAGATATTATATATATGGTAGTTAAGAAGTATAAATCAAGTACTTTTGGGGTATTAAATATTTTTAAATACCTTCGAGACTTTTTAGAGAAATTAAGAAGTATTTTTGAAGTATTATTTAATTGAAGATAAAATTTACATTTTCATAAGAAGTGAGCATCTCGGGAGTAATCCGAGGTGTCAGTTTTTCCACATCCGGATAAATGTGGAGGGTGATTAGAGCTACTACTACTGAGAAGTACAGTTTAAATTTCAAGTGAGATTTGGATCTATGATCCCTTTTAAGTAAGATTTGGATCTATGATCCCTTTTAAATAAGATTTGGATCTATGATCCCTTTTAAGAAGAAGTTATAGTAGTAGTCCCTAATCATTCAAGAATTTTAGAATTGGGGTGGTTGGGTTCCGACCACTCGGGATGACTTACTACTCGGAG